TTCTTCACTTGACTGTGTGTCTGTACTGCTCTGTTTTTAATCCCCGGGGAGTAAAATTATATTTCCAGTCACCGATACCTGAACAACAGAGTTAAAGAGAATACAAGCTGGGAAAATTGAGTAATTTATGAAGCATATTGCGTGTCATTAGCACAGCATAATATATTGTGAACCACATACCGTGAATGTAATGCCGCTGAAGTGAATCATGCGCACGGGCCCAGCAAGGTGTAAAATGAGCAAGTACTGATTAGGCTGCTCCTTTGCAAAAACATCAGGAGACATTATTATGAGCCGACCAGCAAATAGACTTGGCCCAGTGTGTAACGTGCTGCATGTGTCCTTGAGAGATTAAAATTCTGTAATTGTTTTCCCTGTGAAAATAAGAAAATTTGTTGTTTATCCTTCTTATGTAGCCAATGTTTACAGAAGACACATGAGCCCAATGGCCTTTTTAACTTTCCACAGTTAAATTCTCGCCGGCGAGCCGAACGAGATCCACAATATTCTCCAATTTCTGCCGCTGGACAATGAGCATGTCTATTGGAGTAGATAAATGCTTTGCTGAAGGGCCCACATTGTGGAGGAGAACATTATTCACTTGGTATTTCTTCCTATGCTGCATCAGTTCATCTGGAGGTTGGCCTGTTAAATCCAAGAACTGCTACAAGTTTAATCATATTAAACTTTTTGTTGAGGGGGTGGAGGGTTAAAATCTATTTAGCTTTATTCAGCTTAATTAAAACATCTGCTGCTTTTGCCGATTTAAAGTCATTAATTGAATGGATGGATTTATTGAAGTCCTTGTTTAAAAAACACTTTTAATTGAGGTCTCTTGGAGCTCACTTGCGGAACCGAGGAGCTTGAAGTGTGTTGCAGTGCATTGACAAAAAGACCTTGTTGAAATGACAGAGAACAAGGTCGCGCCTGACAGATCACTGGGTGGCCCAAGAAGACTGGAGGAAGTAGGGGCATGCTAATTTGCTCCCACTCAACAAGTGTGTGTTGGAGAGGCAAAGCATGAAATGGACACGGTGGACCAGCGTGCCCGTTACACGCTTTGCCGTGAGACCACAAAGTAGTTGATCTTGGGTAAAGACATCCTGTTCACATGGACTCAGTTGTGGTTACTTTTGCAGAAGAATGACAGGGTCTTCTTTTTCTGGAAGTACTTTGTACATATTAAAAAGTCATGCAATCTCTCAAATTGTACTTTTTTATTACTTGTGCATAAAGTGTTAGTTACTGATCAATGTGCATTTATTCTCTGCCACAGATTTACAGAGTTTCTGGAGCCCTTTGAGAGAGTGATTCAACCAGAGGAGCTTTGGCTCTACAAGAATCCTCTAGTTGAGTCAGACCACATTCCCAAGAGGGTCATGTTCGTAAGTACTGCCTGTTTAACTATGCATTCCTCTTATGTCAGACTTGGCACTAAGCACTTGGTAATTTTTGCGTTGTTTCCATGTTTAACAATTTCTGCATCATTTCTGCACATGGTTGTATTTTTACTGACGAGCTGAGGCCTGAATCCTGGTAACAAATACGAAAACAGCTTTAAAGAACTGTGGTGCTTAGCGCAGCAATGTAAATATCTGTTTTGGACAGCCGTAGGTGGTCCTCTGTTAAGATGAATTTCTAGCCGATGCAGCGTGGATGGAAAGTAATTTTTCTCTGCCTCTTGCTGGAAGCACTGAACAGATAACCTGACGTTTTTATCCAGCATCGATTGGAGGGTCTGCCAATTTTGACCTCAGTTAACAGCAACAATCACTGGCTTCAGTACACTTAACCAACAATGCTCAAATCCCTGAGTGAGTCATTGTTTTCTACCTCTAATGATACCACTTGAAAGAGTGATTATAGTAAAATAGGACAACACAAAAACAGCTTTAAGCCCTTTATATAAAATAAATAAATGCATAAATTTATGTATGAGTGTATAAATGTGAATTATGTGTCCCTCAAAGTGTTTGAAGTTGAAGTTGCAGTGAAATGAAATATAAAACAAGATCTGTTGAACCTTAAAACCTGAACAATCTGCACTCTCAGGAAATGAGATGTCAAGCAGACCTGCTTTTTGAAGGTGATATTTCATGACTCAGTCCCCAAAACTGAGTTTTAACAGTGATTGCATTCTACCATGCAACATCATACAGTAAATGGTTTCCAAAGATTGATCAAACTATCTTTTAGAGCTTTAACAGTCAGATATCTCGTGGCAAGAGAGCAGGACCACTACTATGTTATAACAGGCTTTGCATGCTGTTACACTGTCCTGTGGCAGAAATGGTATTTAAGCTACAGATATTTACAATTATCTCTTTGATATTTCTTAATATTGCAATCAAGAAATTACTTATTTTAGCATAACATTCTCAGATCGGTTACATGTGTATGTAATCGTTCACAGCAGGACAAGCTTATCTACATTATTCCTTGTTAGAAGACCTTTTAGAAGGTTCTGACTGTTTAATCAAACCATCTCAGCAGGCAAACCTTTGGATGCCTATTGCTCATGTAGCGTACCTGTTGAAATGTCAGCGTTTGAGTGACTGGTGCTCCACTCCATCCTGTGCTGCTTGACACACATCAGTCAACAATCAAATTATTATGTGCAGAAACAGCTGCGTAGTAGGTGGTAAGTTCTAACTGTCTGTCAATTCGAGACAACTGTCAGCTTACGCAATGCAAAACCCAACACCTTTACCCCAAGTGCCTGAATACAGCCCATTAAACATCAACAACTGATCCACTTGAGCTTATCTTGGCAGCTCTTCTTGATGTTTAGAAGCTTTTGTGACAGAAAAGTTAGTGCTTAACATAAAATGGCTAAAGCAGAAGCAGATTTTCTCAAATGGAAAATAAATAAAAGCCGAGCTTTAAATTGCTCATCAGTGAAACATTTGATGGGTAATTTGTGATAAGCACTTGAAAATGCATTAGTCATAGAACGCGCCAGTCGAGCAGAAAAAAACACTCACATTCACATAAGCAAGCGATTACAGTTCAACAGCTGAGCTGAATGTCCAGCCAAACACCATTCACGAACAAGATTATTTAAAGCTCATCATCACTCTTTTGGTTTGTGTTTAATTTATAGATTATCACAACTTCAGTGTGCAAAGATCTTCACTCATGACATGACTGTAAATTACCCCACACTCCCATCACCCTACAGTCGTCTAGGAAACTATGCACAACTCAAGTTATTCAGTGTCACTGTTCTAACGACAGCTCTGAAGGTGTGGAGAATTTATCTAATAATTAAAAGCTGCCCATGAAGTGGAAAAAAAGCTTTACAAATCAGTAAAATACAAAAATTGCAACTGTTTCCATTTTTGCACTGTTTATGCAAATACCGGTAGTTGATTATGCATGATTTCCAGATGAAGCCTTGAAGAATATAAAGTATTCTAAAACATTATCTACAGTAATAATCTCTATAAGAAATGAAATGAAATTTGCTCCAAATACTAGGCAGTGATATTAATTGTTTTATGAATTAGTTGCTATCCTGCATAAGCCCTAAGGAGATGGGCAAATCTCAAAAGTACATGTAAATGTAAAGAAATATAAACATTGCAGTTTACAAATGTATTACAAATATGATAAAATGCTGTTATATAAGGAGTTAAAGAACAAGATATGTGTCTGTTAAGTATTAAATAGGCTTACTGTTAATTTATTAAAAGGTTTGCTTAGTAAATGTAAAAGAAACAGTTAACAAAATCTTTATATTCTAAAATGACATATGGAAAAGCCTCCAGCTGAGCACTTTGGACATTTCAGTCTTGATGTCATACGTGAGAGGTGGATCTGGCTGGGAACCCAAAAACATTGCATGCCCATGATGTACTATACTGCCAAAATTATTTGCTTGTTTGCCTTGAGTGACATCCAATTCTTAATCCATAGGGTTTAATACAGGTTTTAGCGATCACCCTGGGTCAACACACCTGAATCAAATCATTAGTTCATTACCAGGCCTCTGGAGAACTTCAAGACATGTTGAGGAGGTAATTTAGCCATATAGATCTGCTGTGTTGGATTAAGGATGCATCTAAAACCTGCAGAACACCTGACCTCGGGCCTGGAGTTCCCCCACCCCTGGTTTAATACGATGTTAGCCCATCCTTTGCAGCTATAACAGCTTAAGCTTTTCTGGGTAGGCTTTCAACGAGGTTTAGGAGTGTGTTTATGGGAACTTCCAGAAGCCCATGTTGGACAATAAGGCCTGGCTCGCAGGCACCTCAGAAGTATTCTGAGGTCTGGACTGTGTGCAGGCCAGTCAAGTTCTTCCACACCAGCTCAGCCATGTCTTTTTAGACTTTGTCTTTATGTCTTTTCAGGCTATGTCTTTATAGGCTTTGTGTATGTAGGAACAGGAAGGGGCCTTGAATGCTTTTGGCACTATAGTGTAGCAACTTTTCAATCACAAGGTTTCCGCGCTTTGCCTGATTTATTGTGTGTTTCACTCTAAATATGCCAAAATGTACAAAATAAAGATTCTGTAAGAAAATTTTATATGTCTCCATTTGCATTTGCAACGATAATATATTTCATGTATGTTAAAGTTATAAGTTACATTGTCCAGAGTACACTTTGTCTTTTATTGTACATTAAGTTTTGCATTATGTTGTTCAGCTTTAGTAGGACGTGTGCACTTTGCACCAAACCGACTGCCGTGTTACAAGGTTAAAAAAAACCACAGTGACTTGTTTAAATTGAAATTCAGAGAGCAACTCTCGCTTCACTTATGAGTGTGAATGAAAGTGTGATTACATGTTTGAGCTATTTCGAGGGGATAGTGAGGTGCAAAATGAGATCATAATTGGCAGCGATACACAAACATACTCAGGATGTACACAGCTGAACTAATGAACAGGACTCACAGGGAAAGGAATATGTGTGCGTTATAATAATGGGACTAAAACACTACCTTTGTTTTTTGCTACCTCTGTTGCTTAAGGAAAAGAAAATATGCAGAATTTGTCCAGAGAGTAATTAATAGATTCTCGGGCATGAATAATTACCTAGGTGCTGAGAGGGCCCCAATCTCATATCAAACTAAGGGCATAATTCTCTCAGCTCAGGCACGAAGAACCACTGAACAATAAAGAAGCTTGTTTTGCCCCTCAGTTTGCCTTGTTAAAATTAACTCTGAATAATAGATGGGCTCGGGTCATTCCCAGAGGCACAAATCATTTCACAATTAACCTGCAAAAAAAAAAAAAAGACCTAATAGAGTGCTGTAGTACATCTCTAATGTCACAGTAATAACCATATATTTGTCACTGTCTTTATTTCCTTACAGGCAATTTCATTCCTTACTCCACTGGCAGTGATATTTGTGGTGAAGATAATTCAGAGGACGGACAAGACAGAGATAAAAGAGGCTTGTTTAGGTTCGTGGAGTTATTTGTTTGAAATGTCACAAATTTGTTGCTGATTATTGTCAGTGTAATCTAGCCCATTAGAAGTCTTCAACTGACATTTATATTGCATGTAGTGTAATACTGTGTGGTTTGGATTTCTTGTAAAATAACTATTAAAAAATGTCTGTTGCCTTAATCCGTTTGATCTTTCCACAGTTCGACCTGGTTTTACTTAACGGTGCAGATCTTTGTGTTTGCCTGGTACTGCACAAATTGATCTTAATCACAGCAACCACGAGTATTTACCAATTGAAATTTTATGCTGTTTGTTCTATCAGACAACATCTGAGCGTTTCCTCCGCACTGATGTGCCATTTTCCACTGGGTCCAGAGGCCTGCAGAGGCTTTGGCACATCAGACAGCATTAAGAAAGTTTAACACAAATCCAATTAAAGATTCTCCCAAAGATGAATGGGTGGAGCGAGCGTAGCTCAGTGCATCCCGAGATTACAGTGTTGTGTAGAACTAAACAGGCCCATTACTGCCTGCAGAGAGGCACTCCTAGAAGCTGAACGAGAAAGCAGCATCACGGCGAAGAACAAAGACTAAAAGGAAGCCCATTATTTTGACAAGTTTCTACATGATCACATTACTGAAAGTAGCTTTGAACCAATTCTTCCGCAAGACTGAATGAGAAAGAAAAGGAAAGCAGCTGTTCAACTGGGTCTGCAGTTAAAAAGTAGCTTTACCTACAGACCAATTTATTTTTCATGCCAAACTAAAATCACCGAAAAGTAGCTGTCCTCATATTCTTGCTAATTTATGGGGTTTCAAGCAGTCCCCGAGGGTCCTCTAACTCTGAATCTATAAATCAAATTTTCAGACAGATTTAATTGAACTTTCATAATTTGTGGGTTTTGAGTTAGATTTCCCGAGTACCAATGGAAATTAGTTTTTCTAATGTACTGGGTTTTAATGTTTGATACAGTGCAATCTACTAACACACTGCCTCTTTGCCTCATTTTCTTTGGAGTGAAAAGGATTGTTTTTCTTTTTAGAGTTGTCTAATAATCCTTTATCATTCCCAAAGTCATGCTGCTTAATTACGTGATTATCTCAGTGAGGATACAACGATGCCATCTTGGAAGTTTGATTATATTATATACGACTCTCGGAGAACGGCAGATGATCCTGTAATGATTTTTTATGTGTGTTTTTGGTGACAAAGAATGAATAATATTGCTCAGCATCTGAGTGTGAGATCCCATACCACACATATAGTGACGTTCTTATTTACTTATGTTTTTTACTGTGTGTATGGGGATCAATCTTCCAGCAAAGTACAAGAATGCATTTGTGTTTACGCTCATGTGTCAAAGCATCAGCATCTAGTTATGAAAGTACTATATAAAAAACGAGGCTCTATGTTTGAACACCTGTGCTGTTAAAAAGAGAGAAGATTTAGAGGGTAGCAATATATTAAGGATATGACAATCGATTTAAACAATCGGTGATTTCGTCAAATCCCACAAATCACCTTGTTTTTCTGTAAGAGCTGAAAGAGAGGGTCTTTGCTAATGTAATGGCCGCAGTCCTATCTTTATTCATGAGGCTACTAATTTCCTGAAACTGTGCCCTGGAGTAATCATTGGGGCAAACTCTAGGGTATATGCATATGAATGCGACCAGATTTGGTTTGCAGAGGCATAGCCCCAATCCAAATGTAAGTAGACCTATTTGGCATAGGGACTGGTGCCGGATGAATACTATATTAGGGGGATGAATATATTAGGATCCCTCATGGTGGGCTAAAAAATGGCTAATCATGCAAGCTCCTCTCGGACCCTTCAAGATTAATTAGTGGATGTGAGGTGAATTTTGGCCGAACTGGAAGGACAGAGTTGCAGGGTGGGAATATACATGCGTGCCATATGGCAGTCCACCGCACTAGATGCACATTATATTTATAGCAACCACTTTCATCAGCAGAAATCTGCTTATTGTGTAGCAGGAGTTAAATGGGCATTAAGCGCAAAACACAAACTGTCAAACTGTGTCAGCGTTACGTTTGGCTATAGGTCAGCAAAAAAATCATTAGTGCATTAATGACCGTCAGCAAGCACCAAAAAGGATTTCCTAACATGTTAGGGAGTTGGAGTGGAGCAATAGTTTTATCCTGACAGAGATCTGACAAAGGATGAGGGAAACACGCTGCAATTTAACATCCCTGCCGAGACGGTATGTGCCTCATTCTGGGATTTCATTTGATCTGCACTGGTTTGCCCAAATTATCCAGCTGTTAAATAATACTGAATCTGTGCTCCTGTCAGCCACTCAGGAAGATTATTCATGTGTGTTTTGGTGGTAGGGTGAATGGACTCATTTCCACTGCGGACTACTGGGATGAACCTATGAGGTCAGGGTACTAATGATGAGTCCCGGTGGTTTTCTTTACAGCTAATTAAATGAACATACATTTGCAGTATAACACCTACCTGTCAACCTATTAGAGTTTTCCTGTTCCCCATCACGGATGTTGAATAAAGCAGGAATTGCTTCACAGTCAGACTAGGCTCTAAAAGGATGCGCTTATGTCAGTTTTTCTGTGAGGATTCTTTCTTCACTTTTATCACATTTTCAAATCTAACAAGTAACACATCAATCTCACCCTTTGTATTTAGTACTAATACTGTTACTAAGCTTAGACATTATATTCAAATGATCTATTTTTTACTGCTTACCTAAGTTTTGTTGGTGTGCAATAGGGCTTACCCTTGCCCATCTTTTCCAGCTCTTCTAAGTCTTTGTCGAAGCTTTTCTCAGCCAACTTCTCACCTGCTAGATGTCCATCTATAGAATAGACATGCTCAAAAGCAAAGCACGTGTCTCATTGTATTGGTGGAAGAGCAGTGGCTCTATTTAAGGCTATCTCGCAAACTCATTGCCGACCCAGTTGATAGCCACGGCTTCAGTTTGAGGTCCTCATTCTTATTCTAACACCCGGCTGCATAAATCTGAATGTTGCTGCTTCATGAAGCTGTCATGACCACTTCATCTGCAAAAGAGACAAAGATGTAATCCTGAGATGATCGAACAAGACACCCTATGCCCCGAGCCTTGACTGAACCTAAAATTTTATCACTACTGTGAGATGAGAAAGCTTATTGCTGGATTTGATCTGACAGACATCTGTTATATTTGGTCCACGGCAATTTACCCACACTCCTAAAACAAAAGCTAGATGGGGCATTTATGGTAGCTCAAAGCACCACGCGTCTCACAGGGTAGCTAAGCATACAATTTTGTCAGTCCTACTCGCTACTGTTGCTGCTCACACATGACCCTAACAACCATGTGTCCACCTGCAAGCGAAATTCCCATCAATGTTTTATTGCTATATTATATCAGAAGAGGAGTAAACCTGCCCGAATCTTTGTCACACTGACAGAATTAATGATTTACTGCAGCGTGATGGTTTCAATTAGTCCTACAGATGCTGAAAAATGTCAGTCTTAGTACCCCAATGCTGTAAAATGTTCATTTCTATGTGTCTCTTTTCCTTCAGCTGTATCCCTTGCTCTTGCTCTAAACGGAGTCTTCACAAATACTATCAAGTTGATTGTTGGCAGGTACGTTAAACAAGCCCATGTTTTTTTAAAGGCAGTGTCAGTAATGCTAAATGTTAGGCTCTTGGCCCTTGCCACATGAGATCCCTTTTTCACTCTTGACAAGTAAAATGAAATTCTTCCCGTCGATGGTATTGTTTGATTTTCAGACCGAGGCCAGACTACTTACAGCGTTGTTTCCCAGATGGGCAAATGAATGCAAAGATGCTTTGCACTGGGGAGCCGGCGGTAGTCTCCGAGGGGCGCAAGAGCTTCCCCAGCAGCCATTCCTCCTGTGAGTATCACAAGGCGATTGACATAAATCACCACCAGAAGTTGCAACACAATGCCAGAAGATATCAGACACTCATTAAAACGGCATGGTGCTCTGAGCAACATTTCACCAAGTAGAAACAAAATCTATGACTGACTGGCTGCTGTATGTATGAGGTGTATCTTGTTGCTCTCTCTCTTTCATGGTAATTACAACATGTAGCAATCAGTTTAAATCAATTTGCGCACCCTAAGTAAGAGTTGAATGCACACCCACCGTTTGATCTGATATCCTGCTGTGCTCAGCTGTGCATTCCGGCTTAGGACACACAAAATCTTATCCTCCAAGCTGTTTTCACTTCAGCAGTATGTTAAATAATTCAAATGTTTTCCTGTTGTCCAGCAGACGAATGTTAAGCGGTATCCATGGAACATTTGCTGGAGGCCACACAGATGCTGAATAAACTCTTGGCATAGCGTGGTGCATCTGGGATGTAAAGGCTTTAATCAAGAAGATACATCTTTGCAAAGATCTATTAATGGTCTTGCCAGCACTGAACAAAAATGTGACGGCATGGCTTTGGTGTTTTGGGTTTTTATTTTTTTACGGTGTTTTGTTCCGGTGTTTCTCCTCATATAAAAGTGCCTAAAGATGGAATTTAAAACGGGTTCTTTGCTAAGTTGTCTGTTATGTGACACAGCACTGGTTCCTCCCTTGAGTTAGGTGCCTTTTTCATGTTTGAATGAGTCATACGTCAGTGTTAAGTGGCAGGAGCCTGGAGAACTATTATTCAAGATATGAAAAATTGCAAAAAAGTCTGGCTGCTTGGAAGAAACAAGGGGTGGCTCAAGACTTTTGCACACCACAATATCTGTTTTGCGAAATTAAAGAAAGCATCTTTGTGTGCTTTGCTACCGCTGTGACATGCATGAAATGTATTTTGTTTTGCTTGCTTCTGCATTTTCATTACATTTCTACTCTACATCCTCATTCAGAGTTGACAAGGTAATTACGCAGTAATCATTTGTACTGCAGGAATGTGCAAATAAGCAAATTGTTGCATCCCACTGAAACAGTTATTTGTCACAGTAGTGAAAAGAGCTGAAAATGCACGATGCATCTTAAACACCTCTTCTTCTTTTTTTTAAAGATTCTAATGAAACCAAATGAGAATTATTCGAATTATTATTGAGGTATATTGGGCATATGTACAAGAAACGCTCTGCTTCTGAAATGCTTGGGAAATTTGTTTAATTGTCATCCTGCTGTCAGTGTGAATGTTTACAGCAGGCTCCTAATCAAACATGAGATCACTGGGCTTTTGTGTGTTACATGCCAAGACCATGTGAATTCAATGATGTAATTTCACAGCCCAGATTTATTTGAAATACATATTTATAGTAATAATGCTAAAGTCTAATGCTTACAACCTCTCAAACACCTGCTTTAAAGAAAGGCTTTGAAGTGTTGGCTTTGTCCCATTAGACATGGCAAAGAGGGACGATGCTCTGTAATTCACCGCAGCACTGAGCATGGATTACATTCATCTATGCGACAGCTCTAATAGCCTTATGTTGTTGCACAGTGAGTAAGAAAGTGATTGAGAGAACAGTGCGACTGGGGACATAGGGAGCGCCCATTCACTAGCACATCTAGAGAGCAGAAGAAATCCAATTTCCCGTCTCTGTCCCTTTTCACCAGACATTGCTTGTTGGACCACGAATAAGTTACAGAGCTTTTACTCAGACAAATGTGGCGTGGGACAGAAGAATAGGGCCAAAGAGAAGACGAGAGTGAATGGAGCCTTGTTTAAAATGGCATCTGGATGTCTCACAAAATCAGCTCTGGCTTGTGTGAAGACATACACTCAGACTATAGGGGAAAAATAAACAGTTTTGCACTCACAGACTCAGAAATGAGGTCACAGATATGCAGCTTGTGTCATTAAAGGACGCACGGTAAAATGCAAACGAAATCCATCAAGAATAGCCAGAACAAAGATATACATATATATCAGATTCCACTGTTTGTCGACAGCTATTTTTTAAACACTGAGACTATTATTATTGCATTTGAAAGTTGTTAAAGCTGCTCACGTTGCCCCTGATTAGATTTCTTTTTCTTCGCCTCATAGCAAAGTAAAAGAATAACATAAATTGGAGGAGACGGGTTCCAGAAAAAAGAAAAACAAACAGATAAATAGCAACTCCCCTGAATTCGCTGCACCAATATCCACAGCGATAAAGCAACCGGGCCCTAAAGCATTAGCTCTAATTGTCTACTTCATATTCATATTCATCTCACCACTCTCCCCTTGTGAATATTAAACCATTAGATATGATCAATTAATAAACACTTTTGAAACCCATCTGCCATCTTACCATCTACAGTCTCTCCGATTCCTAAATGAATCCTGAGAGATGGAGCTAATCACATCTCCAGCTCCTGCTTCTTTCACTTATGCACAACTATCTATATTAAATTAGCCTTAGCTTGCCATGTCCATCATATTAGTTGAATGTCTAGGGAGAATTAGGCTGCTGCAGCAGCGTGTCCTCTTATTTCTGCTATAACACAGTCAGACACAGTTCAGTGCAGAGTGAAGGAGCAATTATACAGCGCTAATAAGGAGGTTCTGTTGAGCTTTTGTATGTTAATGGATGAAACAGTCTCCATGCTCAAGTGGTTAATTAATATGCATTACTTCTGTGAGAGTCAGGGTTGTGTCCCACTTGTTCCTGCTGGGGTCAAAAGTCAAAACAGCAAGGAGAGTGTGAGGAAGGCTGGGAGATTGGAAGCATAATAATATGAGTTTGGAGTGTGGTGTTGATGGAAATTCATATTATAAAGTAACACATAAATAAGTAATGAGTTAATTGTTCAAAGCTAGAATATAGATAAGTTTGGTGTAATGGCTCAGCCGCAGCCACTGAGATCTTTCAGACTGAACTTCAGCATTGCTCTGGGCTCATACTAATATTAGCACATTTGCTGTGTTAATTCTAACAAAGATAAAAAAAATTGTGAAAGTTAGACTTGCAGATTGGCAGTGATCTTGGTTACATCCCAGGGCAGTTACTTTTACCTAATAATAATCAACAGGTAGAATGCCATACGTTCAGTGTCAGGAGTCACAGGGATGTAAAAATTGACATAAATCTGTTAAAAGAAGCAACTGCCAGAAAATAAGGTTTAAAATGATCTCCTCCCTCAGGTTATACATATAAATGCATGTGGAAAGTCAAGATAATATTAAGTCTTACTCCCAAGTGCAGACATACTGTAATCAATGTCTCTGGCTCATCCTACCAAATACAGTGAAGAAATGGCAAGCTAATAGATACAGAGAGCCAAGAAGCCGAGATTACTGGCTGAGCTTGACTCCGTGTCCTGCCAGAACTACAACTGAGTTTAATGTCAGCTTTTTTATACAGACCAAAGTCCTGAACATTTTAACTTAATAGATAGATAGACTTGAATAAAAACGTAAAGTAATTACCTGTGGGAAAAATGTCTATCAAATCACATGGCAACCTGTCCCGCTGTTGAAATGCTCCAGTCAAAATCCAAAGTAGGTACAGGAGCGTTTCTTGTATAAGAAATAATTGAGCAAATCTTTTGAGAGCCTAAAGAAAAACTCCTAGTTAGCAAATTCTATCTCATTATTTCAATTTATCATGCAGCTCTGCTATTGCCTTTTCTGCTGCACCACATCTCTAAAAAGATGCAGTTACAATTAAAAATCAAAAAGCAAATTTAAAAGAAAATGCTTGTAGGCTCAAACCTATAGGTGGTTGCTGGGGCGACGGAGGGGCTGAACAGCAGGCAGCGATGCAGAGCAGCACATGTTAGTGAAAGAAATGGGAAATGTTGGTGTCTAAACAAATTCGAGGTCTTAGTTTGGTGTATGAGGCGAGGAGAGTAAGGCATGTAAGTGTGTATGACGCAGTCCAGCTTGAGCAGTCTGCCTGAACTAGCTTGCAGACTGTGCAAGCTAGTTCCATTTATGTGGCTGAGCGGTTCCTTTGGATGCACCAGTGGATGCAGTTTCTAACACGTTTACCAAAAAGAAAAACCTTCTTGCATCATTTCCATCTTTAAAAAAAGTGCAATGTTGGTCCTTCTTCACTTGAAACTTCTGCGCAAACCTTGTGTTTGTTTGAAGATGAAAAAAGGCAATCACCCTGTACTCATTACTCTCATTAGGCATCTCTGTTTAGTCTCAGGGGAATAACTTTTTCAAAGCTTTTGAAATGAATGAGACAGATTCATTAACATGATGTTTCCCCCCCCCCATCCTTGGCCTCTTCCCTCTGTCCTCTTAGGGACTCCTGCCACTTCTGAACAAGACAATAACATCCCAGTCATTATTAAATTAAGTATAACCCAGCTTGGTCATATATGCAAATTTTACATCTACAAAATGTATTTGCGCACTTCTTTACACGTAGCCTGGGCAGAGCACATACTTATTGTATTATTCATGCTGAAAAAGCATTTCTATTAGAGCAATCCTGAAGATGTTGACTTACTGTGTCTACAAACATAAACTTTGTGTGTACTGTGGCAATAAAAAAGACGATTTTGGCTCAGCTTTGCAGCAGGTTAGATTTAATTTATTCACATTTGTTGTTTCTGTCAATAAATTCTAAAAATAAAGGTTAGACAATATTGTTTCTATCTACAGTTCCCCTATTTTCTGTCTGGAGTATTTCAACATTGTCTTCAGTTGCTCAGATTTATAGACTGCACGTCAGTTAAAATGGGCCATTTGCAGAGTTTTATGTATGAAATCCACATATTACGAAAAAGCTCTGGTATTTAACTATAGCAGCAAATTGCTACAAATCAGGGAGAGTTGTTGTGTGAGTTTGGTGACCTGTGCAGCCTCCTTCTCATAAATGGATATGTGCCTGTCACTCTGAATGAATGATTATAGCGGGAAAGAGCAGTTTACTAGATGGCTGCTCCAGCTGGGTCATGATTTTAGAAGAGAAGAATCAAAGCATGTACAACGCACA